AAGCCCCATTTAAAATTTCAAAATCCCAAGCCCTAGTTCTCTCCTTTTTAGCTAAATTTCCTGAATTTCTAGGTTAATTTCACAATAAAATGACGTTTTTGGTTCATAAGACTTACCTCCAATCAATCCTCTTCGAATCCCTCTTTAATTTCTCCCAAAGAGCTCTCAAAATGTTCAACAATGGAGGAAAAATAACTTAAGCTCGCGGAATGAAATATTTAAAACCCTTCTGCCCAGCTCCAGAAATCCTTCATCGCGTTCACGACCTCAGTCACGCGAACGCGAAGCACACTTTTTAATTCCTCAAAAATAACCCTACGCGAACGCGACAGGGTCCTGTGTACGCGATGCTCTAAATCCCCAGACCTATGCGAACGCGTGCACACAAGCGCGAACGCAAAGAACAATCCTTCACTGGACCCCCAGCCCTTATACGCGAACGCGAAGGCTTAAATTCCTGCCTTCCAAATTCCTTCTTCAGGAACGCGAGGCCCTTTACGCGAACGCGAAGAGATAAATCTCTGCAACACCTGAAATGAAAATCTGCAACTCCTCAAAGCCAAAAATGGTCCAATTGACCATCCGAGACTCACCCGAGGCCCCCGGGACCTCAACCAAAAGTACCGGCACATCCTAAAACCTCATTCAAACTTGTTCCAACCATCAAAACACCTCAAACAACACCAAATCCATCAATTCACATCGAATTCAAGCCTAAGTTTTCTAAAAACTTCCGAAACACGCTTTTGATCAAAAACCCAACCAAATCACCTCCGAATGACCTGAAATTTTGCACACACATCCCAAATCACACAACGAAGCTACAACAACTCTCGGAATTCCATTCCGACCCTCGAGTCAAAATCTCACCTATCAACCGGAAATCGCCAAAATACTGACTTCGCCAATTCAAGCCTAATTCTACACCGGACCTCCAAAACCACTTCCGATCACACTCCTAAGTCACAAATCACCTCCCGAAGCTAACCAAACCATCGGAATTCACATCCGAGCCCTCTTACTCATAAGTCAACGTCCGGTTGACTTTTTCCAACTTAAGCCTTCTTAAAAGAGACTAAGTGTCTCATTTCCTTACCAAATCCACTCCAACCACAAACCAATCAACTCGACCACATAAAACACAGATAACGAAGCATAAAGAAGCAGAAATAGGGGAAACGGAGCGGTAACTCATGAGACGACTGGCCGGGTCGTCACATATACGAGGCAAAGTCTATTACACCGGCTAAGCTGAAGACTATATTTTGCAAAGGCGAAGACAATCATCTAAGCCGAATACTTTACTTTGTCCTAGGCTAAGACCATTACACCGTCTAAGCTGAAGATTATATTTTCGCAAAGGCGAAGACAACCATCTAAGCTGAAGAGTGTACTTTGTCCGAGGCTAAATTCATTATACTGTCTAAGCTGAAGACTATTTTTTTTCCAAGACGAAGACCAACAAAGATCATTGTAGAGTCTAACTTGCAGATTTTACTTTACCGCCAAAAGATTTGACCTTTTGGTGCAATGGAACGAAAACTCGTCCTCATTTCGAGATGCATGAATCAAAGATTATATGAAGCATGAAAAAAAGTTGACCACCAAGAATATCTCTTCAATTTTAATCTTCACAGGTAATTTTATGATCTCCTTTATATAGATATGTTTCTCCCTTTTTTTTGTTTGTAGGTAGAAGAAGAAATCATTTCCAAAGATACCACTTTAGTAAAGATAACCTCACAGTCGAAGAATCTTTTTTATCTACAACATAAATCAAGTCATGCAAGCCAACATTTTAAATACTTTCAGTTGAAGATTTGAAGATACATTAAAACCTTCCTTCAAAAAATTCAAGATATAAATACTTAAAGATGGTGCAGACTATATCAAAGGCTGTTACCATACACTTGGAGATATACTGAACCTTCCAACTAAAGAATTGAAGGCCATATCAATTTGAAGACTTCAAAACTATTATGGGGGGCTTCTTATTGGCTTACAATTGAAGATTTCGTGCTTGAAAGAATTTAACTTGCAGATTTCAACTTAAAGACATGGCAAACTTGAAGGCTTCTACTTGAAGACTTGACAGATTTGAAGACTTCGACTTGAAACTTAGTGGATTCGAAGGCTTTAACTTGATTATTCAACTTGAATATTTTGCAGACTTCAACTTTTGGCAAATTCGAAGGCCTTAACTTGACTTGGTGAATTTGAAGACTTTAACTTTAAGACCTAGCGGGCTTGCACATTTTAAATTGATGATGTAATAGACTTGGCAAAATCAACTTGATATAGGACTAGAGACTTCAACTTGAATATTTAGCCTCTTATTAAAGAAACTACAATCATTCCATCAAAGACTTCAATTTGATATGGAGGGCTTGCCCCCATTAAACCATCAAGATAAGACAGAGAGTTCAACAAAAGAATATATATACACCTAATTTTCAAGTGTCAATCAAGTGAATTATATTCCATCATACCTCATTGAATAATGCCTTGGGTAATATGTATTTTTGAAATCATATAACTGAACTTAGAATGAAATTCTAAGCTGCCAAAGTACCTCGGTGAAGAGGATCAAGTCATTCCGTAGTTCGAAACGGGTGAGTGTTTTTTTTTGCGTCCTAACTTTTTCCTAGGCTGCCTCTTTCGAGGTTTTCGACCTAGCGGACTTTATTTTTTTTGGATGTCCTAACTTTTGCCTAAGCCGCCTCTTTCAAGGTTTTCAACCTAGCGGATCTTTTTTGGACCGTGCATAGTTTATACTCTTGCGGGCCAGGAATAACATGCAGTTTATGCTCATGCATTAAGGAGTGTATTTGTTTTCTTCAAGGATAGTATCTCTTCATGAATTTCCCATTGATGGGGCCAATCCGCAAACCTTCTGAGTCAACTATCTTGTATACGCCACTTAAATATACCTCTTGTACAATATATGGTCCATCCCACTTAGCAGAGAATTTGCCCCCAGATCGACGAGAGGTAATAATAGGCCTTTTGACCACAAGAACTTGGTCACCCACTTGGAAAGATCTAAGGCGTACCCTTTTGTTAAAAGATCGAGACAGGCGAGCTTGATAACATTCAAGGCTTTATTGAGCTTCTAGCCTCTTTTCATCAAGAGCTTCCAATTCTTCAAGGTGTAACCGAGCATTTTCTTCATCAGTGAGTCCTTCTTGAATGGCAAGCCGCAACGATGGGATTTGACGCCCAAGTGGAAGGACTGCTTCAACTCCATAAACAAGTGAATAAGGAGTCGCTTGCGTTGGTGTGTGATATGTGGTCCTATATGCCCAAGGAGCTTCTTCCATTCTCTCATGCCAATCTCTCTTAGACTTAGAAACAACTTTTTTCAACAAGTTGCAGAGCGTCTTGTTAAATGCTTCAGCAAGTCCATTGGCAGCAATATAATACATGAAGGAATTGCGTTGCTTAAAGCCAAAAAGATCACATATTTTATTCATCAACTTGTTATCAAATGACTTTTCATTGTCCGTCAATGTATATCGAGGAATGACAAAGCAATAGATAATATTGACTCGGATGAAGTTAGCCACATTTTCCTTCTTTACTTCCTTAAGAGAAACAACTTCAGCCTACTTTGAGAAGTAATCAGTTGCGGCCAAAATATATAAATGTCCACCAGAAGACTTCGGCAATGGACCAACAACATCTAAACCCCAAGCATCAAATGGCCAAGAGGCAATAGTTGGGGTGTAATACTTCAGGTGGTTGATGTATGAAGTTAGCATGGAATTGGCAAGCTTTACACCTCCGAGCGTAATCCAAACAATCTTTCACCATGGTTGGCCAATAATACCCCATTCTTTTTATGTGGAAATGAAGTTTTGGCCCAGACTGATGCGCACCACATACTCCAGAGTATGCTTCTTGCAAGGCTTGAAGGGATTCATCAGTCCCCGAACAACGTAAGAGCATTCCATCAAATGATCGTCTGTAGAGTGTTTGTAATAAAGAAAATTAGGGGCTCTCCTTCGGATTTCCGTTTTCCTTCAAGGATTTTCTGGCAATATACCGTAACAAAGATAATCGATTAATGGTTGTCGCCAGTCTTCAATTTCAACCTCAAGAATGAAAGCAATATGCTCAACTTTGCCTTCTTCTTCCTTATAGTCATTTGGTGGAGGAACTACCCATCTTTGGCAAACATCGACTTGTGTATGATCAGGCAAAGATAATGTAGAAGCTAAGGCTGCTAATGCATCGGCTCTCTTATTTTCCTTTCTCGGCACGTGTTGAATAGTTACCTCTCCAAGCCAACTTACCAATCTTTGAGCATATTTGTGATATGGCACCAACTCTGGCTTCTTGACCTCATAGCTACCCAAAATCTGATTGATCACTAACTTGGAATCTCCAAAAACTTGTAATTGCAATTGTTTGATATCCACAGCCATTTCAAGCCCAAGTATGAGCGCTTGATATTCAACAACATTATTGGAGCACCGTTGTGTCAGAGTGAAAGAATAGGGCAAAACTTCTCCTTGAGAAGTGGTAAACACTATTCCAGCACCAGCTCCTTCACGATGTGCAGCGCCATCAAAATACATCTTCCAAGTAGGCTGAATTTCTATGACCATTGCATTTTCATCAGGCAATTCATCAGACAACTCTCAATCATCTGGAATCGGATGGTCAGCTAGGAAGTCTGCTAATGCTTGTCCTTTTACTGCCTTTTGAGGAACATACACAATTTCAAATTGTTGAATTGGAGGTACCACCTCGCTAATCGATCACTTAGGACTGGTTTAGACATGACAAACTTGAAAGGGTTTGCTTGAGATGAGTCGCACAACGTGAGCTTGGAAGTAAGGCTTCAACTTTTGAATAGAGAAGACACGTGCCAAACATAACTTCTCAATAGGCAAATACTTGAGCTCATTTGGCGTCATCATCCTACTCAAGTAATAAAGCGCATTTTCTTTGCCTTCATTGTTTCCTTGAGCGAGAAGCGCTCCTACTGACCTTTCCTAAGCTGAAATGTATAATATTAATGGCTTTCCAGGTATGGTGGCTGCCAGTACTGGAGGTTTCATCAGATAAGTCTTAATGCTTTCAAAAGCATTTCTGCAAGCTTGGTTCCATTCAAAAGGAATCCCTTTCTTCATGAGGCGACTAAATGGTTGCCATCTTCCAGCCAGATTCAAAATAAATCTTCTAAGATATGCCAACTTACCCTGCAAGCTTTTTAATTCATGAATATCTTTAGACTCGATCATTTTCAAGATGGCATCCACCTTAGCTTGATCAATTTCGATACCTCGATGTCGAACAATAAAATCGAGGAACTTCCCAGAAGTAACTCCAAAAGCGCACTTCAACAAATTCATTCTGAGTTGGTATCTCCAAAGCCGTTCAAATACCATCCTCAAATATTGCAAGTGATCATCCTTCTTCCTTGACTTTACCATCAAGTCGTCAACATAACACTCCACGTTTTTATGAAGCATGTCATCAAAAATATTTTGCATGGCACGTTGATATGTAGCACCAGCATTCTTCAAACCAAAGGCATTACCTTGTAGCAGTATATACCTTTAGGGGTGCGAAAGGCAGTAAGTTCTTCGTCCTTCGGTGCCATGCGAATTTGATTATATCCAGATGAACCATCCATAAAAGACATCGCCTCGTGTCCAGTCGTTGCATCAATCATGAGCTCAGGGATAGGAAGAGGAAATTCATCCTTAGGACAAGCGTTATTTAGGTCCCTAAAGTCAACACAAACTCGGATTTGGCCATTCTTCTTTCTTACAGGGACGATGCTTGAAATCCATGTAAGATATTTAACTTCACGAACAAAACCAGCCTCAATAAGCTTGTTAACTTTGGTTTCAATCAAGGGAACCAGTTCAGGTCTGAAGCGACGCTGTGCTTGCTTCACAGGACGAGCACTTCGTCTGACAGCAAGATGATGAACAACCACCTTGTGGTCTAAACATGGCATTTCTTTGTAGCTCCAAGCAAATACGTCTTTGAACTCCTTAAGTAGCTCAATATATTTGCCCTCTTCATCATTAGTTAGAGAGGCACCGACATATGTGGGCTTTAGATCTTCAACTACTCCGAGATTGACTTCTTTTAGCGCAACAACCGTTGTCTTCACCCCTTCTTCAAGCTCAGGTGGTGCATCTTTAGCGTCTTCATCCTCTTGAGGATCACCATCATTGAAATATATGTGATGACATACACGAATATCAAGGCACTTTTCCTCGACTTCCGCATAAGATGAAACATTTTGTTCATCATGAATGGTGATATGATATGATGACCCCACACTTTCTTCATCTTCCTCCCGTTCTTTAGTGTGTACTATAGTATGAGTCTTTGCTTTGAGGACCTCTTCACATGAAACTACAAGTTTGGTCTATCACCTCATTCTAGAAGGAATCAAACTTGGGCAGTCTGTGGTCAAAATCTCCTTTTTAGCGAAGATAGGTGCTCCAATCCTTCTATCACTTCCATGACGCTTTTTTCCTTCTTCAATGGTCCCAACCTATCAAAGACTGAGGTCCTTGGCTTCGTAAGTCGATCAAACACAGAAGGCTTCTTATTAAGCATCGTAGACACTTCTTTAGCAGTAATGTAGTTACAACTTTCCCTTTTAATGGAGATACGTATTGACGGGGGTTGTTTGTAACCCAATCCTTCACGTGATTGCTTCAGTGGGTACCATTTCTCCATCATCATCTTTTGAGTAGGGTTTGAAGCTTCAGGCGGGAGCTTTCCCAACTTGGATGGTTCGTTGGGATCATATCCAGCTTTTGCTAACAACTTGTAGGCATTCGGGTCAAAGCCCTCATCTGTGTGCTTTGCAGGAAGTGCTAGATTTAGAAGCGAATTGTGGCTTGATGATTTGACAAACCCTTTAAGCAACTTTGTAGACGACTTAATTGCATCATTTCTCTTGATAGGAAGGGTAAAGTCTCCTAACACCTTACCTTGTAATTCAGAAGATGGATCTTCAACTTTCCTTGCCTTTGGGACGTAGCGAAGAACAGGAGTCACTTTCTTACTTGAAGATGCCTCATTCATCTTGTTCCTATCATGAAGCACCTGAATCTTTTTCAACTGTAATCTTTTCCTTGCTAGTTGTGACATCAACCTTCTTTACAACACTTTTGGTCAACATCACATCATTAACCTTAACCTCCTTTGAGACGTAATTCTTTAAGTAGAATTTTGCATCGGCAAAGTATGATTCAGCCTCGGTAAAGGGCTTATCATCAGCAACTATCTTCTTTTCGACCCCACCTTCGCAGTATTTCAAGCACTGATGTAGGTGGATGAAACCACTTTGTTCTCGTGTATCCATGGCCTTCCTAACAAGATATTATATGAGGTTTTTGCATCGATCACATGCATCCATGCACTCGAATGTAAATATCCCATATTTATTTCCAATTTGATAGCCCCTATAGCTCTTTTCCCCCCTTGATTGAACCCTTGAATCATCAAACGACTTTCACATAGTTTATCCATCGGTATGCCAAGCTCTTTGACAGTACGAATTGGGAGAATATTGACGCCAGGCCCATCATCTATTAATATTCTACTTATTCTCCATTCTCGCACAAAGCCAACCAAAAATAGGGGACGATTATGGTGGGTTTCACCAAGCAAAAGATCATCATTAGTAAATGTGATTTTTGCATCACAAATGTCCACTTCTTCAGAATTCCCAGTGAGTTTTTCAGGCAAGGGAGGTGGCAGCTATGATGGATCCTCCTTCTTTGTCTCTTCTTCATCTATCTTACAACATGAGGCCTTGATACATTCACAGGAAGCTTGCGGATGTAACCAGCTTGGGAGGAGTTCGTCCAATGTCACTGGACGGCGTAGCCTTTGATAGTGATTCTCTGCCATTTTTGCTTTCTTCCAATTCTTCTTTATCATTTTCTTCTTGGGTCTTTTTACCATTTTCCCCCTAGTCAATTGCTTATTTGATTCCCTTTGTGAATTTTTCTTGCAGCATCTCCACCGAGTCACAAGAGTCCAACCTTCATCATCATTTTGACCATCACATGATTCACTTTCCTCCACTATTACTTCACTCACTATAGGGAGAAGCAATGTTTTGCTCACATCGATAGGTTCAAAGTCACCAAATTTAATCATATTTGGTGATGATGCAATTTGGACGCCATCACATTCATGTACTTCGACAAAATTGCAAAGGACAACGGGATCATGTGAACCAAAAATGACAGAGACTTGATTCAAACTTTCCTTCTTATCCTCTAGCAAGATTTTCCTTCAGTGGCCAAGTCCATGACTTTCTCCTTGAAGATAAAGCACTTTTCAGTAGGGTGGCCAATCAACCAATGGTACTTGCAATAATTTGGATCATTAGTCCTTCCAGCTTCGTCTGGCCGTTTCATTTCAGGTAACTCAATCAGTTTCAACTCAAGGAAGTCCTCAAAAATTGCTGGAACATCAGAGTCCAAGAATGGATATTCTTTCCCTTGCATTTCCTTCAGAGTTAATTTTCGGCCAACTTTATCCTGTAAGGACGTTGTCTTCACACTTTGCTTCTTACTCACTTTTGTAGTGACCTTTATTGGCGAGGCATTAACATTCATTGATTCCTTGCTCTCAGACTTCAGCAAAAACTTGCCTACTTTCTTTAATTCTTGTTTATCCTTCACTTTGCGAGGTTCATAAATTGGTGGCCCTTGATTACCACTTGAAGACATGCTTAACTCCATATCATGAGCTCGTGTAGCCAATTCTTCAAAAGACTTAGGCTTGATACCCTGCAGGATGTAGCAAAGTCCCCAATGCATTCCTTGGATACACATTTCTATTCCAGAAGCTTCACTAAGTTTGTCTTTACAATTGAGGCTCATATTCCTCCATCGATTGATGAAATCAACAACTGGTTCATCCTTCCATTGACGCGTATTTATGAGTTCAACCATACTTACAGTGCGCCTTGTGCTATAGAAGTGATTGAGAAATTCATGTTCAAGTTGCTCCCAGCTATCGATGAAACCAGCATCGAGATCAGTGTACCAATCAAAAGCATTTACTTTTAAGGAACAGACAAACTGCTTGAAAAGAAATCTCCATAGGTTCCAGCATTATTACAAGTTTCGACGAAGTGTGCAATGTGTTGCTTTGGATTTCCTTTACCATCAAATTGTTGAAACTTTGGGGTTGATAACCTGCAAGCATCTTTAAAATATCAATTCTCGCAGTGTATGACTTTGCATATGTGAGAGAAGACTTGGCAGCAATATCGTACTTATCATTGATGGTTCCCATAATGAAGTCTTTCAATTGGTCAATGGGAATAACCCTGTCAGATGAAATCTGAAATTCTTTAGGAGCCGTTGTCTGTCTTGCAGATGAGTCTCCTTTATCTTGCATCATTGGGAGCTTTCCAGGTGCATGACTTGAATCTCCCTCCATCATGCTTTCAACTCTATCTGTCAGCTTGACAATTTGATTATCTTGATCTTGCATATGCTTCGTTAACCCTTCAATTGCCTTTGTTAAATTTGCGAGTTGTTCTTCAACAGTTGAAGCATTAGTCACCATTGCTTGGATAACCGTCGTGGATGGTGGAGCAAAGCACGGATTTTCTCTTACACCATACTTTGAGTGGAACAACTCAAGTGGAGTACTTGGAGCAGATCCAGTGATCAAGACATCATCATCACCCTGTGTGATGAGATTCTTAGATCTAGAAGGGCTAAGTAGAGCCAATGTCTTTTCAACAATTTCAGCAATGTTCGATCCTTCTTCCAATTCAGTTGGAAAGGATCTTCCCCCTTTGAGGATTGAAAATCAAAGATAGGAACCGATGTAGACGATATTTGAAATGCTTTTTGTCCCAGCAAGTTTGCTTTGTTCCTAGTGATAAGTCCTATGCTTTCCATAGTAGCATCCAACAAGTTTTCCACATCAGATGAAAACTTGGAATCCGTAGCCTTAGCAGTAAAGAGTTTGAAGTTGATCTTCTTAGGAGCCATTTCTGTGTTCTTGAAATTTGGTAATTTGAAGAGATGAGAGGTAAAGATTATCCCACTTGGCGTGCCAGAAATTTGTAAGAATAAATTTTCGCGCCGAGAAAAATAAATAATCAAGACCGGAAAATTGTGTAATAAATGTAATATTTGATTTCAATAAATGAAAGTGTTACAATCTCTATGGTATTCCTCTGATTCTTCAAGAATGTAAAGTATCTTAATGAGCTTGACTTTGATTTGATTCATGGGCTTGTAAAGCTTAATCTTGAATCTCCCCCTTGAACTTGAATTTGGGTTTGATCACGAACAAGTAACTTGATCTCTAACGCCTTGGTATTTGATTTGCCTTCGTACTTGATCTTGACTTGAACTTGAACTTGTAGCTTGAGTGCTTGAACTTGTAGCTTGTAGAGAAATCTGCGGTGTTTGATCCACGAGCTCTCTGCTTGCTTCTTGTTATAACTTCTGGTGTCTTCTAGCTTTATGAAGACCTCTATTTATAGTTGTAGAGAGTGGTGTGGCTCTGTGATTTGATTGGTCCGTTTGAACTGACCAATACCATCTAGACACTTGGTACAACTCTATTGGTTGTTGATTTGACTTGGATTTCCACCCTCTCTTGACACATGGTATGATTTCATTGGCTCATTTATTTATCTTGGATCTCCACATCATTTGACACGTGTCTTGATTTTATTGGCTCGTTCTTTTGACTTGGATTGCCACTTCACTTGACACGTGGCATGAGCCTGTGCTTTAAGATGGGCTAATAGCCATTTGGACCTTGGGCTAATGAAGTGGGCTTATCATTTAATTTGTAGTCTAATTAAATAGACTAGCCCAACACATATATAATTAACCCAATTTATTAGCCACAATATTTGTTTGGACTAATGTCTTGAATTTAATATGGTCCAAATTATTTTATAAATTTAAATCCAATAAAATTTATATGCTTACAAGGTTGAAAAAGTGTTTTGCAAAATATTTTCCCTTCTTTTGATAGGGAAAATATTTTCCTCCCATTGGAGGAAAATGAGTTAATGAGGAAAATATTTAAGCTAAGCAAACATAGAAAAATTAGAAATATTTTTCGGAAAATATTTTCTTTCGTAGCAAACACACCTTAAGTGTCATAAATTTCTGAAATGCTAATTTGAAATTCTGGACTAAATGTCATGAATTTTTGAACCGCTAATTAAAATTAAGGACTTAAGATTCGAATTTTTGGACATAATTTTCGAACTTTAGAACACGATGTCCTGAAGTTTGAACCTTGAAATTTAAACTTGAGGACGTTGTATCGTGAATTTGAGCGAATTGGCTAATCTTTAAATAAATTATTAACTATAAATATATTTTAAAAACATACTTAAAAGTGATTAAAAATTGCACGAGGCACCCTATTTGGTCGCCCCCATTTAACCTATACCCACTTTTTAAATAAGTTTTAACTTGTACCCATTGTTTAAACAACTTCAGGCCTCTTTCTCCTCCTCCTTCTCCTCCTTTGTTATTTGAATGCTGAAACTTGAGATAGTGTTATGCGTTCTAACCTAATGATTCATATATAACTGCTTGTCCCATTATGTTCAATTTGGTCTTATTAGCAATAATTTAACCTCTTAGATATTTTAGCTTTACAGGCACATTGATTTTTGGTTCTAATTTATCTGTAGTAACTTGTTTTCATGTCGAAAATATTTTTTATTCTTTAATCTTTGAAATGAACAGCATCAATCGCTGCTAATCTTGATTTATTAAATTCATTATTCTTTAGAACTTCAGCTCTACAAAACAAACTTCAGCCCTAGAATGCGGAAGTTCATCACAAAAAGAACAAAGCTTCAGCTAAAATATGCTGAAGTTCAGCAAATATAGAACAAAGCTTCAGCTAAAACATGCTGAAGTTTAGCAAATATAGAACAAAGCTTCAACTACTAGAATGCTGAAGTTCAACAATTACAAACAAAAACTTCAGCCGAAATATGGTGTAGTTTTATTGAACTGAAGTTCGCCATTTGCACTATGAACCGAAGTTTGCGTAATTGCTTTTGCAAG